GTCGGAGACAACTGGGGTTCACTGATAATCCGCTGTTACTGGTGAATGGGGCCGAACCAACTATCTCCCGCCTCGGCCTTCATCTCCCCGTCCCGAAAGCAGTATCACAAATATCACCGTCGGCTGCTTTCCCGCGAGTGGGCGTGGTTTCAGCGCAGCCAGCGGACACGCCCCCAGCGTTTGAGAGCAGAGAATACTGCTCATTTTTTCAAGATTTTGATAGCTCATTTTATGTACTTGCCGGCTTTTTTTATCATTCAAATTTGTCTGGGTGGCTAATAACATATTTTTCTGTGGTGTGACAAACTCAGAACACATACTTAATTTTTACTTTACAGGGACTTTAAAAAAAACTATCTCTTTAAAAGCAAATATCTTCCTTTGCTTTGAACTTTGAGCGTTGTAACTTTGCAGATGTTGTTTATGCTCAAACAGCAACATTACACACTAACTAAAGTTAGAAAAGTGAAATCATAATCAGCCACCCCTTTAATTATTCACACAAATATACAGCAAGGTTCTTAAACTATAGTTCTGCAAAATGAAGAACAAATAAATATGCATTAGGTGTACCTTGTTTTTTTATGTTTTTAATTGATGTATGAATCCACTGCAAACTTTATCGTTACATATGACATTGTTATATAATCATATTCTTTGCAGGCAATTAGCTTACTTCGCTGTAAATAGAAAAGCCTGACAATATCACTGCTAAATACCTTTGTATTGTGGTGTTCCGTCATGTTTCGCACTGACACGCCCCAAACTCGTAAAGATCGGGGCTTAAAGAAAATCACAATCCCCCCACTCATATTACGACATTGTGGTGGCGTTCATGTGCGTTCAACTCGTAAATACGATCTTTACGAGATGACTTGAACACACCATAATAACCCAGCACAATAGGAACTACCAGTGACGTTATTATATTTTATATACTATAATAAACTACATACTATATATCACGCACATTTATATATAGTATAGAAGTACACTGTTTTAGACAAAGCTACTGTCTTTAAGAGTGAGTCATTGAATCATTCATTCAATTGATTTGTTCAAAAACACTTATTCATTCAGGAATGAGAAAACACTACTGTGTTGCTCTGAGATGTGCAATGGTTTATTCTGCTGTAAACTATTTATTTTTTGGCGGGGCAAAAAAACAAATAATTGACAATATGTCTAAATTTTAAGTGCAGTAACTCAATATTGATGACATTTTTATAGTGACTAATTATAAATCAAATTTTGTCTGCCAAAGTCAGTTATTTTGTTAGTTTAGCAACACCCTAGCAACTATGTAGCATTGAGTGTAAAAACACTCAGAATGCTTCAGAAACCTTGTTAGTGAACTTGTGATTTTGTGGAGGGTTTTTTTTTTCATTCATGCCTGGCTCTAAATGATCCTCTACACACCAATGGGGACAACAGTCCTCCTCTAGTGACATCACTACAATTGTTACTGTGAGTGACACCTGATGCCAGCTCAAGGTTTCATTATTGGGAAAAACCCTCCAGCAGGCCTCAGGCTCCAACCAGATACGGGAAAGATGCTCCAGTTCTATCAGCGTCTCTCACTCTATCTCTCTCTCTTCCTCGTTCACTTTCTCTCATCCTTTCTGGGCAGCCTTCAGCTTGCTGTTTGCCATAGACTACGATCGTCATGCATAAATAATCCAGTACTGTTAGACAGAAGTGCGTGTTTCTTGGGCTGAAGTGAGAACACTCAAGAGTGAGAGTTGATCTCTTTCACCTTGCTGAAGACACACTGGCAGCTTATTCAATAAAAGGCTTTTGGTAAATGAGATGGCTGGCGAAGAGACTGAATAAACAAACAATGATGTAAACACTGTGACTTCAAGACTGTAACAGCCTGTGCTTCTTTCTTTCAAATGGACCATGGGGATGTTTTGTGTTGTGAGAAAACCACGTCCTGCTGGACACATTTTTGCAAAGTTTCCTTCGAATAATCCATAATGCTAAAAGATGCTTCATATTCCCACATCGAGAATGCCACAGCTCAGGTATATATAAGTTTATATATTTATTTTATATAATACTATTTAGCCTACCCAATATTACTTTTATATTATATTATATTCTTCCCCCAAATGTTAATTCTTCATTGTGTATTTTGAAAAACATTTGTAAATCTTTGTGATAAAGCAGTCTTTGCTCAACCACAATGTTATAATGATATTAAAAAGAGCAGAAAGTTTTACCTTTTAACTTTCCCATAAACTAGTGCTAAAATAGAAAAATGTGTTGTTTTTATTCTTGGCACATTAACACTTTTGTCATCCTGTGATCATTGTAGCATCTTTTTAGACAATGATAATATACATTAATTTCAAGAGGATTCAAAATCTCAGCAGTGAATTCCAGACTCCAGCAGTGATTTTCACACAGTCACTGTTCTCTCCAGGTGTGAATTATGCCTATTTCTGCACCTCTGCATGTGACCTAGCAGTTCAGAGCACTCTGATGAGGAGATTTGTCTCTCGCACATCAACACTGAGAGACTTACATCCCAGGCTATCTGGCCTTTTTAAAGCCAGCTAAGAGCAGATGTCCTGTTCCTCACTGATAACAGAATGCGTTAAGAGCAGATAAATTAATCAAACTCACCATGGGTCACCAGCCTGTGAGCAGAGAGTCTCTGATTTATTACTTACTGCGGTAGAACATGACGTTCTTATGAAGGATTATGAAATATGGCTTCTCTAATGAATAACCACTTTTAATTGATTTAGAAGGGAGTTTTTTTTTTTTTTTTTGCTAAGCCGAGTGGTTTTTGCTAGATTGTTCTAGGTGGTTATTGGGTTGTAGGTAGGGTGTTCTGAGAAATTGCCAAGTAAACAATATTTCGGTAGCATATGGTTTTCGGACGATATTTATTTTCATTGGACCTATTTTTACATTTAAATTACCATTGTCATCATCAAATACCATTTTTGTACTACACATTATAAAGTTCACTTGTTGCATTTAAAATAACTGGTTTTAGCGTTTTATTTTTTTATTTAGACAAAATATATTTATTTTTATATTATAATGTTGTGGTATATTGTTCCACTTTAGGTTTAGGTTTTATTGTTTTATTTATTTAGACAAATTAGTAGAGAAGTTATTTTTTTAGGATATTATTGTGATTCCTAAATACACTTGCAGCATTTAAAACAAATGATTTTAGTTTTTAGCATTTTAATATCATTTTTATTGATTTGTATTTGCCTAAACATACTTGAATGCAAATGCAAAAATGAGCAATAGCAATTGTATTGCTTTCCTTAGCATCCCTATTATTAGCATTAATTTTGTATGATATGCAAATATGGTACGGATATTAAATAGCCAGGTGTGTTTAGATCAGTAAAATGCAAATAAGGAAAAAGGGATGAGGCTTGCAAATTAGTTTCAACGATACTACATCAAATGGGAATTTGCGTAATCAAATGAGAGTACCAGATCCTGCCAGAATGAAACGGCACAAAAGCACCAATTCCCGCATACAGGAAACAATAACAGAGCCACGGCTCTGGGAATCCCATCAGCATGCACGGGATAGACAGATAGACATGAAGGGAGTGTCCATGGCACAGCTGTCCCCTGGGGTGTGGGAGACAGCTGTCCCGCCTGAACAGAGCCAGCAGTGTTCCTAGAAAAGTGTCGATCAGCAGAGTTCACCCCTGCGTTCTCGTCTGGGCCTCCTTGTGCAGTTGAAACAAATTCAGTGTGTGAATGATCTGTGTTGTCATAGGCAGAGACAGGCGGCACAATGGAGAACTGCTCAACCTTAGTACCGGCAGCCAGTACAAAGAACAGCCCTTTAGTACACGCTGATAACTGGAGCCATTCAATCAAGCATCACTCGGAAACACTCCAAAACACTAATTATATTCCAGGAAGAGAGCAATTCAAGGAAGCTGTCTTCTCCGGTGGGTCAGCGTGAAGATAACAGCCTGTCAGCTACATGAATTTAACGCTGTGTCCCAAGCAGACACGACACTGTAAAGTGGCAAGCGATGATTTTTGGCTCATGTTAATGAGTTTTAGTTCACAGCAATCATTTGTTGTTCATTATATGGAATAGCCCCACCCATAGTGACATTTCATTGGTCTAAAATCACAATTGATTTTGTATATCGATCACAAGTTCAGTATGTAGTACATCAAGGCTCAGTAATAGGACCGTTGCTTTTCTTCCTTTACATGCTACCCTTGGAAGATATATCATTAGGATAGGAAGCATGGCATTAGCTTTTACTGTTACACTGATGATACTCAGCTCAGCCTCTGTATTTACTTGCGCCTCGACAAAACATACCAATTCACAAAATTGATGGAATGCCTAGCTGATATAAAAAAATTGGATGACTAGTAATTTCCTACTTCTTAATTCTGAAAAAACAGAGATTAGTGCTTTACATCTATTGCGATCTCAAAATTCTAGCTAGTTGATAATACCTATAATATCAAAATATATATATATTTTTTTTAATGTAGCATTTAAACAAAATATTACTTTTATACATTATACTATATAAACTTAAAAAGAATCTTGATGAATTCAGGTAAGTTGAGTTGAGACCTCACCAACCGAAAAACTCACTTTTTAGACAACTAGCCTAGTTGACCATCCTCCTGTCTTCCTGCCCCTAGTACATTATCAGGACTCTTCTCTTCAAATATCACTTTGTACTTGAAAAACCCTTTGAGAAACTGAACATCTCTAACAATGGAAATCAAACACACTACCACCTATACTCCGTTCTATTCTAAAGAACAAACTCTGCTTTTTGGCATTATCAACATATCATGTATCAAAAGTGTCACCTATAGATAAAGCGGAGTGCATTCCTTGTATCAGATGGATGAGCAGATGTGCTCCAGAGATTTCCTGACTGTAATCCAATCAGACTGCGGCCACATCACGAGACAGGCTGAGATGATGTATGACAGAGAGCCGAGGCAGTGAAGTGGCTGAGATCACTTACCCAGACCGGAGGCGTAAATGGCCTTAACTGACTTCTTCATCTTGTAAAGGACACTGCGGTCCACATCCAGGGCCTAAACACAGACACAGAAATAAAGAGAGAGAGAGAGAGAGAGAGAGAGAGAGAGAGAGAGAGAGAGAGAGAGAGAGAGAGAGAGAGAGAGAGAGAGAGAGAGAGAGAGAGAGAGAGAGAGAGAGAGAGAGAGAGAGAGAGAGAGAGAGAGAGAGAGAGAGAGAGAGAGAGAGAGAGAGAGAGAGAGAGAGAGAGAGAGAGAGATGTAATATGTGTATCCCAAAGCCTTTAGGTCAGTAATTTGGACGCAATAACACACACACACACACACACACACACAAACCAATATAACACTCAAAAAGAGTGTCAAGCATAAGCAAAAAACGTACATACTTTAAAGCCTAAATCTGAGCCAGTGTTATTATTATTGTACAGTTACAGTACACGAATCAATTCGATTGTGATTCACAAGCTCTCTATAGGGCTTTTCACACTGCAATTAACCCTGGGTTATCATCATTCTTACTTAACCCTGCTTTTAACCGCTGGTAAATGACCGTTTCACACTTGTAATTTAGAAGTAGGGTTAGCACCACTTTTTATTCGGGGTTATGAAACTCTGCCAAATGTGTACAGTGTTAAATGATAGCTCATGAATAACCAGGGTGAATTGTTAATCCTGGGTAAATTATGAGCTGTGTGAAATGTGAAGCACGATGACCCAGGATTCTGTTCATCCAGGGTTTAGAATGACCCAGGGTTAACTATTTCAAGTGTGAAAGCCCTCATTTGATTCAGTATGATGTAACCTGATGTATTTAGGTCTATTTCAGTTATAATGTAAATGTTGTTTACTGTACAACACGTTTTTTGCCATATCAAATTTGATAATTTCTTATCTTATTTTTCATCCTTTTGACAGTTATATTTGCTCTGAAATGGCACTATGCAGCTTTTTTAGCTTAACTGAACAGCTTCAGAGTTATTGAAATGGTTATATAACTTCTTTCGGGTTGAATGGTGGGCGTCTCGACCCCCCCCGGTGCCTGTGAGCGGAAAAATCTCCCTTGCAACTTCGGTGCGGCGGGCCGCCGTGCTCAGTGTCAGGAAGTATCGCGTGATATCAGCTCTCGCGATGTAACATATTCCTTTACGGCAACTGCACACATACACACAGGAACAAGGTATAGAGGGATGGAGTTTGTCACACTATCGTCATGGCTGAGCCGGCATATAAGATGCAGAAAGCTAGGAAAGCATTGTCGGAGGAACAGAGAAAGAGGAAACAGCAGACTGACCGAGAATGTGATGATCGGCCGATACCGATCTTCGGCCGATCGATCGGAGCATCCCTACTTTTTTTTATTTAACCACATTTTTGCATTTTAAATTTCAATTATATTTATATATATATATAAACAATATGACATTCAAAGGGAGTGTAAATCATAAGAAACAAGCCAACATACTTTAAAGCCTAAATCTAAGCCAGAGTGTAAATTATTGTAAGCTATATTCCCATTTTAGATTTTAGAATTAGATTTTCCCCAAAATCGTGCAGCCCTACTGTTAACCATTCAGTACCACTGTAAAATGTCAGATTGGTATATTACCTAAAAAAAAGTGATATCAATTGAAAATCTGCATAAAGCGTTAAAAAGGGAAATAGCATTTCACCATAATAGTTCCTCTATTGTACCAGCTCATCTCATATGTGGTCAGATGATCACACATCCTCTTCCTTCACCTCTCAATACCTCTATGCAGCTAATAAAGCCTCAAACCTCCAGACAAATCTAATGAAACACCATCCCTGACACCGACTGTTGTTTGGCCTCGTTCACAGGAGCCTCCACTGTAAATCCTGCTTTTATTAAAAATGCTGTGTAATATTTATTTTCCAAATATATCACAGGAAAGCTTTCCAGATGCTCGTCTAGCGGCTGGCTGGAGTGTTCAGTTTCAGAGCGGTAGGGAGAATGACAATGCTTTTACTCGCGAGTGAGCCGAACCGTGAACCACCAAAACCAAGACGCCTGACAAAGCAAAATGAAAGCTTACTGAGAAAACAGTACAGTTATTAATAAATCAAATTATCAAGTAAAAATAGAAAGAAAGTCACCACATTATTTCATGAAACTACTACCGCTTTAGTAACCAAAGAAAAGCATCAGCCAAAGTATTTTATATCGTTTTATATTTGTATGTTAGGATTACATTTCAGCACAAAAACAATTATATTTAGCGTTATTGAAGGACTGGATGAGATGTGACCAACACTTGAACTTGACTTGAGTCAAAGAGGGATGCAGTTTCATTTTAGGCATTAGACCTCAGTGTCCTATTGGGACGGGAGAAAAAAACTTGAAATTCACTTCACAGTGTATCTTTGTTTCACACACAAAGATCTACTATACAACTGCCTTTTATTGAAGTGACATGAGAATTGTTGGAGAAACAGGACTTTATAACAGCATTCATAAGTGGATTACTTGTATTAATCCCAGTGACTAGTTAAGTATCAACCACCTGTCTCTTCGTGGTTCACAATATGTGATTGCTCGGCTCCAAAACCCAGGAGATATTTCAGAGTCTGACATTAGAATGCAGAATTATAATTGCATTGAATGAATCAAAAGTGACGGTAAAAACATGCATAATGTTTCGAAAGATTTGTACAATTTAAAATAATGTTTTTCAAAATTTCTATTTATAGAATCCTAAAAATATATACGTTTCCACAAAAAATATGAAACTGTTTTCAACATCATAAATGTTTCTTGCGCAACAATATCAATATATCAGAATGATTTCTGAAGGATCATGTGACACTGAAGACTGGAGTAATGATGCTGAAAATTCAGCTTTGCCATCACAGGAATAAATTGCATTTTAAAATATATTCAAAAACAGCTGTTTTAACAGGGGTGAGTAGACTTTTTATATCCACTGTATGCACATAATGTAAACATTAAAAAAGTACTTTGATGGTACCATGGTACAATAATGTAGCAGATGGCAATGCCATGGTACTTAGGTAAGTGTACTATGAAATGAAGGATGGTTTCAAAGAAATCCTCCTTTTTATTAGTACAAATCAATAAAAAAAAATACAGATCTAGACTTTTATACTGCCTTACAGACTGTGCATTTCCCTTTTATGTGCAGAAAGAGGTGCATTAGAGTGATGTGCCATAAAATCTGACAGACTGATCAAGTATCTCTCTGTAATCTGAAACCACCATCGGCCTCCATTTATATTCATCTCTACAGGCCCTATTCTCCTTCACTTAATCTCATTTTACTAGCCTTTATCTTTATCTGTAAGTGAGGCACTCAGCCCAGGACAAACTGAGACAGTGTTTTAATGAACGCACATCTCGGAAGGAGATCTGACACTATATTTCTTCAGCTACACCTTCAAATGAATCTTGAAGGGAATTTACAATGGCTTGAATCTCTTTCCACTGCTCATGAAGAGCATATAAGGGGTTACAGAGGTTCTAAGCTCACTGCTGTTATGACAACACGGTGGCATTTTTTTCATCTACATCTTTCAACATTAATCTTCATCGGTTTTCATTTAAATTGGTGAGACACTAAACGGGGTCCTTGAAAGAATGCAGAGGGCAGAACTGAACTAGTCTCAGCCTCAGACATCACACCCATTGACCATTGGCTGAACATCTTATGCATAAGGCACACAAAATGGGAAACACTTCAGGAGTTTCAAAGTCGTCATCTGATTGGTTGAATTCAACAGGATTTCTGGGAGACGTACATGTCGCGTTCTTTAACGATTCGCCTGGAAACAAAGCCGTCGTGGTGCCAAACCCCCTCATGGAAGAAGAAAGCCGTCATGTTTACAACTTTGACAAAGAGCGCTTATCAGGATCAACTAAACGCTGGATTTTCAAAAATATGTGAAGTTTGCTGTGCCATTGTTGCCATAAACTTGCACAACGTTTTTGAATGAATTATTTATTAGATGTACGCCGGTCTGTTATAATAGAGACATCGACACTTCATTTTAACGCCCCTAAATATGACGCGAAACTAAAACAAACCGTGATCGGTTGCTTTACATGTGAGTCCGACGTCCTCGGTGGTTCTTGACCAATGAAAGCTGTGATTTAGTCCAGACATTCTGCCATCAGTCTGAAGGTCTAGCTATGTGAGACTAGAACTGAACAGGCTAAGGGTGTATTCACACCAGGAAAGTCCGATAGTTCACTTGCTTTGGTCCGGACCAAATAAATTTTTTTTTTTTTTTTTTTTTTACGGTTCGCTTTCACACTGCTCTTTTTGCAAGTGAACCAAAATTTGTAAACAAATCCACATGTGTGCTAACTAAGGTCGTCCATTCATTGGACAAGGATTCTCAAGTAGGGAAATCAGGAAATGCAAAAAAGGCTTAACGTAAATTAACGCAGCATCATCCTTGTATTCTAACTATCGTTACATTATATGAACTGCAAATGTTTGGTTTTTTTGCATCTATGCACGATTAGACTAAAGAGAACGCTCTGTATGTGAATGTCCTGATGCACACACTCATTCATTCATTCCATTCCAATGATGCACACACGACGCGCAGAAAGACGCGCAACAGATGTAATGTAGTAGGCTACAACAGATCACTTACCCATAACGCACGCAACTCCGACTACGGAAGCCTGTTAACTCAAAGGCGCAGTGCTTTCTTGCAATTGGGTCGGTTCATGTTCACACCGTAAACGAACCGTACCAGAGTTCGTTTGGAACCGTACCGAGACCACCTCTTCAGCTGGGTCTCGGTTCGGTTGTTTGGTCCGCACCTGAGTTCGATTGCTGTATTCACACCTGCCCAAAAGGTCCGCACCAAGGGGGGAAACGAACTAGAGTTCGATTCATTAGAACCAAACAAGGCAGGTGTGAATACACCCTAAGTGTCCATCAAACTTCATCAGTCAACTTTGAAACGAAGAGGGGCACACCAAATACGACGTGTCTACCTCAGTCAACATTTGTGCGGTACTTTCATTATGTTGAAACACATTCTGACAGGCTCCCCTGTAAAAG